TCACTCGGTGTTTGTTCAAAAGCAGAACAAGATGCTTGTCTATCTTTAAGCCTGCTGGAGGGAGAGGTGGTCATTTAGTCTCAAGTTGTCTGTTCCTCTCCTCTTTGCAGGTGTTTTGGTGGTCACCACCACCAGCATGCTACCTCCTCCCTCTGCAACATTCAGCTTCTCACTGTTGGTGCTCTCTTACCTGAGAGTCAGTGTCCAGCCAAGTCTCTTGCACCAGAGAAGACAATAATTTAACAACCTTGAGATTATCAGTATGTAAGAAGACAACATTTGTTTAGTGGCTCTTAAGTAACACTCATTCAATAAATATTTCTTGAGCAGCACCTGGGCAACCACAGGGCACAGAAGACAGAGAAGACACTTATTTCCATGGAGCCAGCATTGTATTAGGTCACACACAGTAAAGCTTGTACAGACGTGCTCAAGCGTCAGTTGAGGCAAAATGCTAATTTTCCAAAATCGTTAGCAGAGCATGAGTTCCTTATTTCTGTTGTGTGAACATCCCCTCGGAATATTCCCTGGCTTGAACTTCTACAAGGGGTCCTGGGAAGCAGTTTTAGCACCCAAGGCAACTGTTGGAGTGAGCGGCCCAGACCTCGGGTCATGAGAGGGCCCCTTGTTTCTCTAATTTCCACCAGGATGTCCCTGTGCTCACCTTGCCCCGGTCAGCTCAGAGCTTTGGGATTTGAGGAGAGTATTGAATGAGTGAAAGCCTTCTGGGGAAGAGGAAGAAGACTATTTTAACTGTCCTCCTTTGTTTATTTCCTTAGTTCTCATTATCTCTCTGCATCCCAAGTGCTCTCAAAAGGGGGGAGAAAATAGCACTAATGCTTCCATGATTTCGTCCCTCCAGTGCATCTTCTCTTGGAGGCAGTGCCTGAAATGGTGGCTCAGGTTGAAAACCTGAGTTGTCTCTGATGTCTGCCTTTCTCTCATTCCTCACTTCTAGGTGCCCTAACTGAAATTCAACTACATCTTTCTTTTTGCTATCTTCCCCTGCACCCTGGTACAAGGCGCCCCCACTTCTGTTCTGATTGCCATGGCCACATGCTGACTTCTCCTATTGCTCCTGCACGTACTCCCCACCCCCAGTTCGTTACCCACATAGTGACATGAGATGATGCCCAGTTCATCCCTTGCTTAAGCCTTCCATATTTGGAATGAAATCCGAAGTCCTCACCAACGCCTAGGAGGCCCTGTGGTCTGGCCCCTGCCTTCCTTCAGACCTCCTTTGCTGCATTCACTTATCTTGCCTACTCTGTCCTAGTGACGCTGGCCTTCCTGCCACTCTCTGCTTTGACCCTTCTAGGTGTTCTGGTGTCACCTCTTCAGAGAGGCCTCTTCTCACCACCCAAACTACACTAGCACCATCCTTCCAGTAGGAGTCCCTGTCTACCCCAATATATCCATTTATTTGTTATGTGATCTGCCTCTCACACTAATGGTAAGCTCCACAGAGGCAGAAGATACAGAAGATCTCAGTAGCTCCAGTACCCAGAATAGGGCCAGGCATAGAATGGTGCTCAGGAAATACAAAGTAAAGGAAAGAAGTAAAAGACTGGAGTATGATCAACATGAAGGACTTTTAGCTTCTTCCAACTTCCAAAAATCTATGAGTATGTGAAGGGCCCAGTAGCCTGGGTCACTGCAATGCCATTTAGAACCAGTTTGGAATATCAGGAAATTTAGTTAGTACTTCTTTTTTGAGATTGAGTTGACTTTTCTCTCCTTGATCCCTCCACGTGTAGGCAGCTGACTACAGAGCAAGGTGGTCAAGACACTGGTGGGAAAAGGCAGGAATATAAAAGCCATATAGATTAAGCAGGAAATAAACTCTTTGTAGTGGCTGATATTTTGGGGATGCTTGTTACTGCAGCATGTAACCTAATTTATCCTGACCGATGCATTTAGCAAAGGTTCAAAGGAGGTAAAACACAGGTGTGAACAGTATGAGTTGCTCCTAACTGGTTCTCCCCATTCACCTGTCTCTACTTACAGGTCACATAGGTGTCCCTCTTCCTCAGAGGAAAATGCCCATTAACCCCACCTTCTGGCTGTTGGGTTTCTCTTTTGAGGAGGTAGAGAATTTAGTTTCTGAGGCATGTATAATTGTATACCCAAAGATCATTGATCACACGGAGTGGATGCTGTCTATTCTTCATCAGTGAAAATGAGAAAAGCCCTGCAAGTGTGATGCCTCAAGATGTTGCGGAGGAGAGTACAAGGTGGTGCTCTGGGCATCTGAGAACAAGCATTCTCTTCATTTCTGTGCTAAACTCTCACAGCGGAAGTATGCTTCTTTCAGGCCAAGCACAGAGTGGGATGAACTGGGGAACTGGATGGAAACCATAGTAGCCAGGGAAGCACACGGGACTTAGCAGAGCATGAGATCATGCCCCCTACAAGGAAATAAAGGATTGAAAGGAAACTATGCGAGGCTGCCCAGAGCCCAGGGTGTCCTGTTCTGGGGGCACTCACCCTTGAGGCTACTTGTTTTGCAGTCTTTAGATGCCCTCGCTCACCCTGCTCCTCTCACACTCAGCCCTGCTGGAACCCTTACCTTAGGCCAGTGATTGATATTAACACATCCCACCAGCTGGAGATGGAACTCCAACCAGGCACCAGGGATCCAGCAGGGAAGGTAGATGCCTACTGATTAAAACTGAAACTTTAAATGCACGTTTCACAGAAACATTATTGTAACCTGGGTTAAACATTGCCGGAGTTTCTCTGTAACCACAGTTAGAGCATCTAGGTTTTCAGCTGGTTTGTCAGTGACATGGACTTCTACGGGCGAGCCTCAGAACCCATCATCCAGCAAAGAGCATCGTTTCTATGGAAACCTGCAATCTGTGACCCAAATACCCAGGTTAAAATTTTGCTGTTTTATTTAACTCAATGTGTGAGTCAATTGGGAATTGCCAATATTATTAGATAAAATGGAGGTTCTTTTTTTTCTTTTTATCTTTTTTATCTTTTTTTTCTTTTTTTTAAATTTGTGGACTTTTTTCATCCTGCTTATCCATTCCTGTCAGCAGGCATAATGGAGGACCCTCTATTCTAAAGTGTCTGTGTTTAGATGGAAACTTCTGTTTTGGCAGGATCAGCCAAGAGGAAGATGGAAATCCTTTTCCAGCCATTGTTCATTTGCTTTTCCTTTTATTTCTTGAAACCCTACAGGGCGAGCCCTGCTGAGACTTACTGACAAAAAGCTTGAGCGAATGGGAATTGCCCAGGAGAACCTCCGGCAGCACATCCTACAACAGGTGCTCCAGCTGAAGGTGCGGGAAGAAGTCAGAAACCTACAGTTACTCACACAAGGTATCCTGCTGCTACCTAGTGGGTGGATGGAAGGGGAGACGGGAAGAGAGATACCCTTACCATCATGACAGAGGGGAGCCAGGGAAGAATTGTTACTGGTTTGTTTATTTGCACAATTTTCTTCCTTAAAAAGAAGGTGTAGAGATACAAAGGCCACTTCCCTCCTAAAACTTCTCTTTTGCATCACTCACTAGGGGGAAGGATGCATAGAGAAGTCATGGACGAGCAGACAGAATTATCTGAGCTAATTTCAAGGTCATTACATACAGCTTGTAGCTTGTGCATCGCACTGTCCCAGAGGGTACCAGTTACAGAGATCATTACATGGTTGTACCCTCTAGATTGTACAGTGTACAGCCTGCACAACCATACAGTGCAGCCCAAGCTGTTTTAGTCTGACTACCAATTCAGAGAGGGCTTTGGAATTCGAATGATTCCATAGTTCATATGACCATGATATGAGTGGGATTTTTGTTGTGTTTTGCTTTACTTTGCTTTTCACTAACTAAAGGGAGAAAAACATTCTAGAGGTATGTGTCTGTCTGTGTCTCTCTCTGTGTCTATATACACACTCTCTCTCTCTCTCTCTCTAGAAACTGAGAGCCCTATTTAGCGTCTTGAAAACAAAATAGAATCATTTTTTAAAATAGACTATAGGGAATTTTAAACTGGAATATTCCAACCATATAGTTCTAAACAAGAATCATTAATAATTTCAATATGTTGAGAGCACTTGAAATCACTGTAGTTGGGAGTGACAGAATAAAAGTGGAATTTGAGGAAAACCTTAAGTAATACTGTACGTAAGTTATAAGTCCAGGTAAGATTTGGTTGCTATCAAACTCCATTGGGTATAACCCTTCATTTGCTTAATTTTAATGCCCATTGCATACTGTTTTAAATGAAAGGATGATAAAATATCAATTTTTGAAAGCCTTGGGTATTTTTCAATCTGCAAAATATTGTAATTGCATGCATACTGATATTGGAGAAATCTGGGTCAGTCAAGTTTCATGTTACTGCGTTTAGATTAACCCAGTAATAGTCTATTTGCCTAGAGGAAGTAATGTACTGCCTGAAAGATGACTGCTCTACATGGATAAATATAGACTTCGAGCGATATGAAAATAGTTTTGTTTATTTGACATGCATTATTTGCATTGCTCCCCAGAGACTTCCAATGGGACGTTTACAGGCACAGGTACACCGAGTGACTTAAATGTGAATCTGATCTACTGATAAAGTTTTATGTGTCTTTTAAGAAGTAAAAATAGTTTCAAAGATTTATCACCAAAAATGTCCACTGCAGTGCTATTTATAAAACTAAAAAATTAGAAACAACCTACAGGTTCAGAAATATGGAAAGAATCAGATAATTCTGTTTAAATTCAGAAGACACACTATATAATGCAGTCATTGAAATTGTATCTTCAAGGAATATATGACAGTATTGGCAAGTACTCAGTAAGTAATAGGAAGTAGGGAGAAGGCCACGTATGAAATTTTATTTATGAGCCCAATTTTGTAAAAAGAATATAGTTTTATATGCACATAGAAAAAGGGATGCAAATGAATTTTGCCAGTATTTTGATAATGATTCTCCTTGGGTGGTAAGATTGTGGGTGATTTTAATTGTTTTCTTTGTATTTTTCTAAATTTTCTAAATCCAGTATAAAGTCATATTACAGTCTTAATCAGAAAATACATGCACATTTTTTAAGCTTCAATCAAGCATCGTTCTGCCCCGTTCTGTTCAGCGTCTGGAGTTTCCTCTGCTCTTTTGTCTTCCTCCTGTGGTGATATATAGAATGAGACCTGAACTCATCACGTGTGCCTTTGACTTTTTTTTACCTTCCGCTACTGTCAGCCGGCAGTGTGTTTGCTTTGCAAAATCATTTTCTACAGCTTTCATTGCCCTAGATGCATAATATATAAGATTTTTCCTGAGATAGTACTCAAGTCTATTAAGCTAAATATATGTTTGTGTTCTGGGAAGGTAATGCTAAGTTCAGCCTTTTCAATTCAGTTGTTGTCATTTTCTTTAGCTTTGAAAAGCTGTGCCTTTTGAATTCTTTCATTCCATTCCCTTTAGAAGAGGT